CCCCTGTCTTCATTTACCCCCCACCCCCCCACCCCCCATCTGTCCACCGTGAATGCGCCGTCGCCCCTGTTGCAGCCTCACCGGGTTGTACATCTGCATGGCAGCCCCTCACCAGCAAGCAGTGATGTAATGATAGGCTGTCTTTGGATGCTTAGCTGCTGCTTGTACTGCCAAATCAAGGCATTTCTGTAATATTTCTCTGCAAATAAAGTCAGTTTTATTCATATAGCCTACCTTAAAATCATAGGTTTGCCTCAAAGAGCCTATATATAAAGGGGGGTGGCCTACTGGGTTCTTGGGACACTCAGTCTTGAGGCTACTTAAAGATAAGTCAGTTAATTTGAAGAATATGAATCACCAAATATTTTGATCATTAGCTAACTGTAAGTCATAAATCAAGCAAAATGCCAAAGATGTACTATTTCCAGGTTCCAAAATGGGAGAATTGTGCTGATTTCTATCATTGTAAATTGATTCTTTTTGGGTTGGTTGGACAATCATCTTAGACTCTCTGTAAAATAAGCACTTTTTGTGACATTTTATATACTATCAGTGTTAATGGAAAACACTGACTGAGTTAGTTTCAGCCCAAGTAATATCACAGTAATGTGGCTATTGCTATTGTAGCCTTGTAGTTAAATGTCTTCCAATATCATAATCATTACTATAACCATTCCCTGCAGACTGACAACTTGATCACACCATAAGCAGCTGTCTGTGCTGTTGCTGTTTTTTTCCAGTTGAATAAATTTAGAGACAAAAGCCCATAGACATTAAAAACCAACCATCCAGCCAAAGAAAAGGGAAGTTGAGGTAAACAGTGCTGACAAAGAAGTGAACAAAAACCACAAGAGATGACTCTGTCCTTTGTATTGTACAAATGCAATTGTACTTGCAATTCTAAATCAAAAAGGGAACTTAATTAAAAAGAGAAATATGCAAAAAAAAAACAATGTAGGTGATGTTAGTTTAGGTTTTTGTCAACCTTCCTCTACCTGTCAACCTGGGTCGCATGAGCCTGGCTCATGTTTATTTCATTTCATTTATTTATTAGTTTTTATTTTGGCCCTTTTGAGTCATGTGATGTTCAGTGGTGTTGGTCTAAAACAACCAGAGAACACAGGGATCATGAGACAACAGTAGGTTTGTGGTGCTGGTACCTCAGCCAGCCAGTGGCCTGCACAGATGCTGCTAGAACACACATTTAACTAGTGTCTGTGTGTGTGTTAAATTGTCATTGCGCGTGAGAAAATGCTCAAGCTTCTCTTTCTTCCACGCTGATCAGATCTCATCTCATTGTGTGGAGGAATATATATTACCAAGCTGGCCTGGGGGTGGGGTGGGGGGGGATCCCATTGAGTGGTGTGCCCCTGGAGCTGACACACTTTCTTTCAGTCTGTGTCTTTCTCTCCAACAAGATGTATTACACCAAATGCTCAGCAGCGCATTCTGGTCATGATGTTCTTCTGCAAATGATGTGTCATCTGTGTTAATGTTGCTTTTTTTGCTATATTTGTACTTTTCCTACTAGGTCTCATTCCAGTCCTTCCTTTTAGTTGAAATATTTGGAGCACTTCCTCAACACCCTGGTTTAGTGCAGTCATAAGGAGATTTAACCCCAGCTCTTGGTTGGCCCAGGGGGGATTTTTCTATGCCTACCATTGATGTTCCGTGTTTAAGATGCTCAAGAGTCTAACTGCTGCTGTACTGGACTATTGGGAAAATGAATTATTGTCTTGTTTGCTCTTCCGTAGTTGTTGCAGGGCCTAAGGCTATGTTTCCAAGTGTCCAGAAGAGGATGAAGGGGCCCTTTGCTTCACAGACACAAACACACACACCAACTGTTCCAACAGAGTCTGGTATAGGGTGGGAAAGTTTATTCAGCTAACCCAGGCTTTAGTATGTGCCTGTATTCTCAGGCACAGATGGGAGTTTAGTAGCACTGAGCGTGATTGTCGGCCTGACCAAACATCTTGTACCAAGCTGCGAGTTTCATTTTCTATAAGCGGAATGGTTAAAAATAAACAGCTGATAGAATTAGAGAATGTGTGAGTCCAGGTTGCAAAGAATACAGGAAACCAAGACAATAGAATCCTTTAAGGTTTCAGCAGCTCACAGGGGTCAAGCTAAGCTTTCATTACCACAATTGATTTACTTTTTGTACTCGCACTGTAGCAAAATTAGTCACATCTTCACTGTTAGCATTTGAAAACTAAGCAAAAATTAAAGGTTTCTGCAAAGCTCTTCCTAGCATGTGACAGGTACCGTATGCTACAGTGGAAAATAATATCAGCCGTCATGTAGTAGAGATGGGCTGATATGACTTTGTCTCGATACGATTCGATGCACAATATGGTGTGCACGATTCCATTCAATCACAATAGAATTAAAAATTCAGTGACAACAGTGCATGACTAGCTGTGGAATACTTGTACTTTAGTCCGATTTCTTTCCCATTTTCTAGTACTGGTTTGATTATGAACAACCAGATATACTGACTTACATTCCGTTTGAATGTCTTATTTACCAAAGATACACTGGATATAAAGCCCACACGGTATATATCACTAAACAAAACAGTACATATTCTGACATTTTTGTGTTGCCATATGCTGAATTTCAATATATTGTCCCATCCCTCTCATTTACCACTGCATTATAAAAATAATAGAAACAAAAAGAATATCAACTACACAGATAATGACAGAACTACAGAAACACAGTTCGCGTTTACTCGCTACACAGTATATGGATGGTGTTTTCTCACTCATTCTTACATTAGTCATTTGTCATACTGTGCTGCAAGGCTAGTGGTTCACCTCATGCAGCCATAAACTTTATGTATGATAACAAACTGACAGTTTGATGTGACAGGAAACCACACCCACCTCCTTTGTAGATCAACTGTGATCATATTAGTATTTCTGCACATGTTGGTAGGACCATCAGCAGTGTGTCTCAGTGTGTTTATGATGTAGGCTTCTGTGTGTATCCCTGCTGGCTAGAAGAAGACTATATGCTGTTTGAATAGCCGTTGTTAGATCGCCACAGGCAGGCTTAATATAAATGTTGCCAGTTAGTTGTCAGCATGTAGTGTTGACTGCCATTTGTGTGTATTCTCTGTTTGGAAGTTGTTTGGTTCCCCTATCTGTTCATTTAAACCTTGGTCTCTGGCTGACTGCCAGGACAAATAAACAGCTGTTTGACTATGTAAGACCACATAAACAGACTTTAACCAGTAACTATGAAACAACTTGGTGCAATACTTTACCTTCTGTTCCTGTACAATCTTTGTCTATGTTTAGTTTTATCTGCCTGTTTTCTCATCGCTGTTGGAGGCCTGGTTCTCCCAGCTCTACTTGTGCTCTGTCCGTCTGTGAACACAAAGCCGATTATCGGTCTGCCGGTTCAGATGTAAAACACATTTCTGAGAGGCACATGATATCCAGGTGGGACCATACACATTGCTTTGGCTGAGCTGGTGTTTTATGAGGAGAGGACACTGCTAGGACTTTGCAGTATTTGTGCAGACATTTATTCCAAAGACAAATCAGATAAAGTACAGTGATAATGATGGACTTGTACATTGTGTGTTCATATGGTATATAAGCTTTCCTCCATTAGCTTTTGTCGCTGCCACTGGGTCTGCTGTCTTTGCAAGATAGCACGTGTGTCAAAATGTCATTCGTCGTCAGACTGCTTTCTCCACTTTTTTCAGATCTGTGAGATTTCTGGCTTGTAGCATTTCAAGAATTTTACTATTCAAATACATGTCTAGTCAAATAAAAAAAAAACAACAGTTCAACAGGAAACCGTGAGAGGCCTGTGCCCTTTACTTCCCCTGAGCATCAGTCTGGTATTGACATACAGTGAAACAGGAGAGGGTACAGGTGCAGGAGGAACACACAGACATAGTGCACGGCATATCCTCAGCAGGTTTCACAAGAGGAAATGAGGTCATCAGCCATTTAAAGTCACTGTGTAGTGTATTTCTTTGTGACCCAAAATACATCAGAATTGCATTACCTGAGAGTAGCATATATTAGAATTTTAGAAAGTTACCTTCCTCATTTATTTGTCATTTCTAAAGCAGTGGTTCCTAACCTCCACAGCCATTTAACTCAGGATTAACCCAGGTAGCTCGACAGGGACGCCACCCATTATGTTCCAAATGTGTTCATTTGAGAGGATTTTCAACTGCTTACTAATTACGCAGGGACGATACAGTTAGGACCATTTTGTTAGGTTTCATTTGTACTGCTATCACTGAATGTGTATCTATTACTTTAAGCTAGCTATTTCAACTGTTTAACATTTCATGCCTCCAGACCGGCGGGGATGTTTTCGGGTTGTCCGCCCGGCCAGCTGGACCATTCTTGTAAACGCAGCATCTCAGGAACATCTCATTACCTTTACCTTTTTAATTCAGCTGTTCATCCATTACTTTTAGATAAACCAGCCACCCATTTTAACGGTTTACTCATTACTTTTAGCAGTTTAAACAATTTATCTGTTACTTGTGTTTGTTTAATTACCTTTGGCAAACAGTTTCAGTTTCTCAGCTTGTGTGCTAGTTACTTTTCATTTACTCTTATTTGCAGCATAGAGTATCCAGGTGTTATAGGTGATGCAGATAGATATATTTTTTCAAATAAATTTATGTCTGTTTTAACACATTTAGTTACGCCACAGTCTTTCCATGTATCCACTGGTAATTACAGAAATATCCCCAGCACAAGTGCCCCTGGTTGGGAGTCACAGTTTTAAAGCATATCTAGTCTCATCTTGGATCTTTTAGCCTTTTCTAATGGAGCTTGTTCTGGTCTCTCTTCCTCTCGTTCTGTCAGACTGGGGTGTTGTGTGAGTGACACTTAGTTACCATGACGACCCATGTGACCCTGGAGGATGCTCTTTCCAATGTGGACCTGCTGGAGGAACTGCCCCTCCCCGACCAGCAGCCATGCATCGAACCCCCTCCCTCCTCTATCATGTACCAGGTACACACACACACACACACACACACACACACACACACTGTTACCATCATCCCTAGTTGTTAAGCCATTTTCAGTTGTTTTTTTTTTTCATTTCCCACGTACCCCTTACTCCCCACTTTTCCAGGCTAATTTTGACACCAACTTTGAAGACAGGAATGCATTTGTGACCGGCATCGCCCGTTATATAGAACAAGCCACAGTCCACTCCAGCATGGTGAGTCCTGTATTCCAGTTTCCAAAACTACATGTCATGGCTTGGCATCATATTCGACCACATCTGAGTGGTTGAATCAATTTCTTGTTGTCTGTCTTCAATAGTTGTTGTTTGTGTTTCAGTGAACACAAAGGCGACTGTGGAAAGCAGCCTCACACCCTTAAAGAGAGCCTTGTGTTTTTGTGAATTGATTATCATTTGGCTCTTTTGTTAGGATTTGGCTAAGCCTGGGGCAGGACACACATACACACACACACACACACTCATACAGACTCACATTCCCCTCACCCGCCAGTGAATCAGGCAGGAGATAGACCACTAAACCTCTTTTTCTGATGGTGAATGAATGGAGAGTGTGATTTGACTAGTAAAGAGAGGAAGTAACCTTATTTAAGCAGGAAGTGCCACTGAGGTTGAAGGTTGTTTATTTGAGGAAGCTTCTCCTTTAACCGGAGTGATGGAGAAATCTTTCTCACCTGCTTCTCGATGGTAGAAATGTTCTTCTGTTTAAATATTTATCAAGCCCCATTCATCCTGGAATGTGGCTTGTCTAGAAATAAAGTCAAGGCTCACTTGAAATTTTGCTATCACTATGCACTAAGAATGAATGATTCCGTTATTACATGTTGTTCATTTGTACAGAATGAGATGCTTGAGGAAGGACATGAGTATGCTGTAATGCTTTACACTTGGAGAAGCTGCTCTAGAGCCATTCCTCAGGTAACACACACTTGCACTAAATACGATACCCACCCTGTTCCTTTTGATTGCCTTCATGTCCTTTGGAATCAGATTTTTGTTCAGCAGACTCAAACTTGGCTAAGAAGAAATCCAAAAATAATAAACCAATCGTAGCTGAATTTTGTTTTGGTAAAATAAAATTGACTGTGACTTGGAAGTTTTTTTTTTTTTTTTAAGTTTTGATTCTGCCTCCTTCAGCTGTTGCTTTCAACATCCCAGTTCCCCATAATTTGGCAGCCTTTTGGCGATTGCATACACAGACAGACATACTATGGCAGGGGTTGCAGAACATGAAATGTGAGTGTTGGTTTGTCACACTTGATACTGAATAAGAAGCTGCCAGCATTATGCCTGTACTCTGCTAGCTCTATCAGAGATCATCCTATTTTGGAAATGAATAGAGTTCTCATCTAGTCATTAGACTGAAAAAGTACCTCAGTAGGTCTGTAATGTTACCTGGGAAGCTTTATTATTGCACATAATGTCATTTCCCTAAACCGGGCAAGTGCAGCTTATAGGTACACAGGAATAAAAAACCCCAGTGGTTGGAGAGAGAAGGAAGCACTTTAACAAAAATGTTTGGAATCATTTTTCTGCAGACAAACTATAATGTTGCATGAACTATCTGAACTAAGCCACTGTACTGCAGCTGCAGTATCAAACTGTACGATGGCACCCTCTTGTGTTTGCCAGGTGAAATGCAACGAGCAGCCCAACAGAGTAGAGATCTATGAGAAAACAGTGGAGGTGTTAGAACCCGAAGTGACAAAGCTCATGAAGTTCATGTACTTCCAGGTAAGACTTGGTTGCCTGACAGACTCTTTTATATTTTAGCATGAATTGAACCAGAAAAGGTTTAGAAACATACCAAGTAAAAACCCCAATGGGGACACAGAAAGTTTTGTTTTTAAAATGTATTCTCTGTTGAAGAAATGGTCAGTTATCAACTCTGTATATTCTCATTTCTTTTTCTTTATCAGCGGAAAGCCATAGAACGATTCTGTAGCGAAGTGAAGCGCCTGTGCCATGCCGAAAGAAGGAAGGACTTTGTATCCGAGGCCTATCTGCTCACTCTGGGAAAATTCATCAACATGTTTGCAGTGCTGGACGAACTGAAGAACATGAAGTGTAGCGTCAAGAATGACCACTCTGCCTACAAAAGGTGGTGTACCATAAATAATAGGGATGAGACAATATATCAAACTTCAGTATATCGCGATACAGAAATGTCACCATATGTATCGTTTTGTTTAGCAATATATATCATGTGGCCTCCATACACCTGCAACCTCATATATTTTGTAAATAAGATAGCCTAACAGAGCGTAAGTCAGTATATCTGGTTCTTCTTTACATAATCAAACCAGTGCTAGAAATGGGAAAAAAAAGAGGAATAAAATATTCCGCACCTAGTCATACATTGTTGTTACTGAATTTTTAATTGTATTGTGATTGAATCGAATCGTATCGAGAACAAGTCGTATCAGCCCATCCCAAGTAGATGATGGCTGATATTACTAAAGAAATCCAAATCCTTTCTTCTGAAGAGCCAAGTGAACATTTCTCCCCTCCTCCGGCTCCAGGGCAGCTCAGTTCCTGAGGAAGATGGCCGACCCTCAGTCCATTCAGGAGTCCCAGAATCTTTCCATGTTTTTAGCCAACCACAACAGGATCACTCAGGTTGGTGTGCAGACTCTAGACTAGTCTTTACAGTGTGACGTGCAAAAATGTGGAACTGCGGGAAGACACAGAGGATGGACAGTTGACTTTTTGAATTAACTAGTCTTTTCATATGGTGTGTCGACCTGCCAGTTGATTTAAGGTTTTTTTTTTCAGTGTATCTTTGTTAAAATTACCCCTTAGAACAAAATGTTGCTGCCTTTGCACCTAAATATTCTGTTCAATCTGTAATGATAATGATAACAGCTTCTAAGATTCTACCCTAATACTCAAAGAAATTAATTGCTAGACAAAAAATTAAGCAGATCAATGGCTCCCATTTGTACTCTGTGCTGTACCCAAGGACCCGTGTCACAGATCTTGTTGCATGTACATATTATACAGCCTGAACAAATGAAAAATGAA